AATTATTTTCTATTTTTCATTTATAAATTTCCTTCAGAACTGTTGTCAAACGTTAATTTTCATTAAACACAAGACTGGGGGTAAAATGGTAATTTTATGTCATTCAGACTGTTCATTCAGAACAATTTCCAAACAACCTTTTTCTATCTGACACTAAATCATACAGAGTCTCTTAATCATCATGACCACTTAATCATCCTGCACTAAACCATTCAGCAACTGGCAAACGGCCCCTAACTAAGTGAGAGTAATGAATTTTAGGAATTTTTTTTTACGTCTTAATAGTTTTATTAAAAGTTGCTTAAGAGGTGAATCTTGTTTGGTAAAAAAATTACCTCTTATCTATACTATATTATAAAGCATTTAACAAAAATTCTTAAAATCATTTTTTATTTGTAAAGTACCGTTTATTAATGCATATTACTTAAAACTCAAGATTACAAGTAGATTGTGCATAAGTACAACTTATTAAAGCTTCATACCTGAATTCGTGTAACTAACTGCAGATAAACATAATCAAATACATGATAAATATCTCATTTTAAATATAAAAAATCTAAAATATAATTAGGATAATCATTAAGTTCTAACAGAATACTTAATTATTATCTTTATAAATTGTTATATTATTAAACTAAAAATAAATTATTTCATTATTAAACTTAAATTTAATTATAATAAAAAGATAAATTAAAGAAATTACATAAAAAATGAGAACTTTTAAATAGTTGCTTTGATATTAACATTGATATATTTTTTTTCAAATTTTTATGATATCTTCAAATTTATATTTATTCAAAAATAAAATCATTATTGTTTTCTTAAAAACACATAAAATCATATTATAACATCGACATAGATAAATAATATAATAGAACATTAAAAACGAGATGTGTCTCGCTGCATTGCATGAGCACTATTCTAGTTGGTTCTAAACCTCTCTGAATGATTTTGTATTTTAGGACTCCTTGAACCATTCAACGCCCTAATTTCATTATGAACGATTACCAAACAACTATATTTTATTTTGCATTATGTTATAAGAGATTTTTAATCATTTTGACCACTTAAATCAAACCATTCAACAACTGTCAAACAGTCTTTTACTCATTTAGTGCTTACCAGAAATTACAGGGTCAATTAAAGGAGAATGTTAACTCAGTAAGTGCTTGTTGAATAAGCATTTTAGTAAACGGCCCCTTAGTCTCTTATCAGATTAGATGACGAGAAGAGCTTATAAGCTTTTATCCCAAAAAACAAACACTTATAATATGTTACCTCTTATTCAGTAATCTGTAATAGATTAATAAAAGGTAAAAGTTTATGAAGCTTTTTGTAAGGTTTAAAGATTTCTTTAATCAATTTTTGTTATTACCTTATGTATAAATATACAACTAGTTGTGTATCCGTGCAATGTGGCAGGAGCCGTGAATTTTAACGATTTTGAAGTTTCACTGGTTTTATCAGAGAAGATTTAACGATGCTATAAGTTACACTTGATCTTTACATATTAATACAATTGGAATAAATAAGAGTTATGGTTTTAATTACAGTCTATCGATGGAAAGAATTGTATGACTGTTTCAAATCCAATATATTTAAAATCCAACATATTTAAACGACTTCATAAATGTGTTCGATTTTTACACCAAGAGCAAATAATCAAGAGATCGAGAGCGAGAGTTCTAGAGCAATTGAATGCAGGGGTGGAACACAAACTTTCCAAGCGTAGGAGTCGGACCTAATATTATATATTTTCAAAAATACCAAAAATAACTATCCAAAGTTATAACGTAGAAGTTAAACTATGTTGCCTATATGAGATGTCACAAAATGATAAAGGCTGCACCTGCTGAACTTCATTATAAAACAACCAGTCAAGAAAATCAATACATACACAATCAAGATTCTGAAACCAAACAAGCAAACAAATGGAAACCATCAATAAGCCCATGTATCGGCTATGTCTTAATGTCTGGGACTACTAAGGTGCAAAGACACAATGTACTTGACAACGGTGTGTTGCTTCTAGAAGACAAAAAAAATTGGTGCAAAAACATGATCAAGAAATATCCTCTAATTGCTGTAACTTTTTTTTCCAAATCACTTTCTTAGGGGCTGTTTGGCTATTGTTGAATGATTTGGTGCAGAATGATTAAGTTGTCAGAATGATTAAGAGGCTCTCATGATATAGTGCAAAATGAAATATAATTGTTTGGTAATTGTGTATAATGAAATCAGGGCTCTTAATGGTTAAGGGAGATCCAAGATACAAAATCATTCAGAGGGTTTTAGAACCATTAAGAGGCAAGCTTTTTTTTTTTGCTAAACAAGATTCACCTCTTAACGATTCAGAAGTTGCCTCTTAATGGAACTATTAAGAGGTAAATAAACAACCCCTTAGTCAATTTTCAATCATATCAAACATCAGCAAAAACATCCTAATTTTTTATATGATGTATGTGGAATGGATCTGCCTTCCTAATGTTTTCACAATGGAAATCCAAAAATAAGTACCTACAAACAAATGTACCAATTTGTTTGCTAGAAATAGACATGAACTAAAAGACTGTCACACCCTATCTTCTTTCGTAGGCTCTTAATGATTCATGGAATTAATGTATTTGGCAGTAGAAATGTCACTATTTGATCAATTTAGGCTCGGTTAATATTCATTAGAGCTATATGTCTCGGTTAGTCATTTTATATGAGGGTTATGCCACATATGTGCTGGCTACACACTGAACCACGTCTTATTGAGCACTATAATAAGCATTCTTCAAGGGAGACTTTCATAATTCTCCACAATTCTCTTGAGAACTAAGGTGGCGTTTGGTTTGCAGATTCTGAAGGAATCTGAAGGAATTGGAATGTTGAATTTCTTTGACCAGATTCATTTCCTTCGTTTGGTTCATTCTTTTAAGCGGAAGGTTAATAAATTAATTATTATATTTATATTCTATAATTCTAATAAAAGAAAATAATATATGCATACATTTTAAAATTTTAATATTATTTTGCTTTTATTTTTTAAAAAACACATAAAAATCTTTTTTTTTTATAAACAATCCCAAATAAAGCAGTGATTCAAAGAAGTTATCATAAACTTGCAATTTGGTTCAAAGGAATGTTGAAAAATTTCAATTCCATAATCTTGAACTGGTGAAGAATCAACAATCATAATGATTCATGTTTCTCTCGAATCCGAGGCGTCTTCTTCGTATATCCTGTGCTTTAGATTCTTGGCGTTGGATTTCTAATGGCCGCAGCCACCACACTCAGGTTGAACCAAGAAACTTCGATGAAGTTTTTGATTACTTGGATCATGTTCTACGAGGATGCACCAGCTTCAGACAATGCAAACAAATACATTCCCAAATCGTGCTTTTGGGTGGTTTGTCAACTGTGTTCTTGTCGTCTAGGCTCGTATCTATTTATGGGAGATTTGAGCTTCTTACTGATGCTCGAAAAGTTTTTGAATCTGTCCCAATTGAATGCCTTTCCATCACGATCATTTGGAATTCGATGTTAAGAGCTAATATCACGAATGGCGAATGTCGAGAAACGCTTGGGGTTTATACCCGAATGAGGAACACCGGCTTTTTAGCTGATGAGTTTAGTTTCCCTTTAGTAGTGAGGGCTTGCGCTACGATGGGTCTTCGGAATTCTTTTGATTTAGTTCATGGTCATGTTCTACTAACGGGATTTCAAGATAACATTCATGTTGCAAATGAATTGTTGGCTGGGTATGGCAAACTTGGGCAAATGGCTGGTGCACGCCAACTGTTTGATAGAATGGTTGTTAGAAGCCACATTTCTTGGAATACTATGGTTTCTGGTTTCGCTTTTAATTATGATTGTGAGGGTGCTCTTGAGATGTTTAAGAGGATGAAACTTGATGGATGGGAGCCTAACAATGTGACTTGGACTTCTTTGCTGTCAAGTCATGCTAGATGTGATCGCCATTGGGAAACATTGAGATTATACAATGTCATGAGAAGTGAAGGTATCTGGCCTGCTGCTGAATCGCTTGCCGTGGTTATATCTGTTTGTAACAATTCTGATGTATTTGATAAGGGAAGGGAGCTTCATGGATATGTTGTAAGGGTTGGTTTTGAAAACTATTCGTTTTCTAAAAACTCTCTTCTGTGCATGTATGGTAGGCATGGAGTTTTAGAAGCTGCTAAAGATCTGTTTTCAGAGATTAAGACAAAGAGTTTAGTGAGTTGGAATGCCTTAATATCGTCATATGCTCAAGCTGGTTTATGTGATGAGGCTTTCGTTACGTTCTTACGGTTGGAGAAGTCAGAAGGATATCTCATGCCTAATGTTATAAGCTGGACTGCTATTATAAGTGGATTTGCTTCAAATGGGAGATCCAAGGAATCTTTGGAACTCTTCAGGAAAATGCAGCTTGCTAAAGTGAGGGCCAATGTCGTAACTATATCTAATCTCTTATCAGTTTGTGCAGATTTGTCTGCACTTGTTTATGGAAAGGAGATCCATGCTCATGTTATTAGAGGCTTAATGGACAGTGGTCTATTAGTTGGTAATGGGTTGGTAAATATGTATGCTAAATGTGGTAGCCTGAAGGGCGGGCATATAGCATTTAAGAACATAAAGGGCAAAGAGTTATGCTCATGGAATACCATGATCAATGGGTATGGGATGCATGGACATGGTGAGAGTGCCTTGCAAACCTTTAAACAAATGATCAGTGATGGATATAAGCCTGATGGGGTTACTTTTGTTTCATTACTTTCTGCATGCAGTCATACAGGGCTTGTTGATGCTGGTCGTAAGTTATTTAATGAGATGAAAACTGAGTACGGAATTGAACCAGAAATGGAACACTACGCTTGTATGGTTGACCTTCTTGGACGAGCTGGATTTCTTCAAGAAGCAAGTGATGTTGTGAAGAAGATGCCGATAGAACCCAATGTATGTGTATGGGGAGCTCTTTTGAACTCGAGTAGAATGCACAGGAACAAAGATTGGGTTGATGGGTCTGTTTCAAAGATACTTGGCGTTAGTTCAGCTACTGGGAATTACATGTTAGTGTCAAATATATACTCTCAAAGTGGTAGATGGGAGGACTCTGCAAAGGTCAGAGGATCGGCTAGGGCACTGGGTTTAACGAAAACTCCAGGTCAGAGTTGGATTGAATTGAACAAGAAGGTCCATATGTTCACAGCAGGGGACTTCGCGCTAGGTGAGATGAAGGAAGTTCAGACACTGCTTAAGACTTTCAGTTTTCAAATGAAGACAGAGGGCTATTTTTCTCATGAAAAGGCATTTGGGCTTCAAAATGCAGACGAATAAATTAGTTTTCAATGGGATCTTTGAAGGATTCTCATGGGTCATGGCTACTTCAAGGTAATCTTTAACAAACCATACTAGCCTAGATGGCTTGGTATACGGATATGCATTATTCTACATGTTAATCTTTAATACCAAACAATAATCAAGATTCACTTCCATGGAAAATGTTGATTTCAACATTGACTTGCTAACAGTGTTGCAAGGACACAGATGCATAATTTGAAGATAGTGGGGTTCAATTATTCTAAAAGACCGAGGAAAGATTAATAATTTTTAAAATTCTATATTTCATTCTGTGATGAGCAGCACTGTTACTAGGGATGTTGAATGGCATCTGCAAAGCTCTGGATCTTATCTCAATATCAAAATGTTATAAGGTTCGAGTTCTTTAGAGTTATCCAAATTAACAGCTTTCAACCAGACACAGGCATGCTCCACACTTTAGGAATTGCATGCACTGTCTGTCATCAAGAATCTTTAAGTAAAGGATTTTGATATAATTTTCCAACTGCACCCTGAAGAGAAACAAAAGTCTTATATGAAAGAAAACACAGTTTTGATGGATAAAGCTGGGCAGAAGAATGAAGAAATCTTTCCCATTACATCCTTATGTTCAGTTGCACTCAAATTGTTAGCCTCCTCTTGTTGCTTAATACTTCCCCATAAGAAAGTCTGTTATCGTGTTTAATACATATGATTTTATGTGCTTTAGGCTGTCAACTGGTTATGTAGTCATTTTGACGCCTACAGAGATACTCCCAACATCATTGACAAGTTCAAGAACGTTAAACGGATTCTCCAGTTTCACATGTTTTATGATTTCTCCAGAGCACAATTATGCATTTCATGGTAGGTTGCTGTGTATGTCATCAAACTTATCCATACCCTGGTAGTAAGATTAATATTCCTTATTTCTTTAAACCCAGCCTAGGTACGGGAAAAGAGGCAGAGGAAAGTAATTTGCTGCAGAAATTATCAGAAGCTTGCATAGTTGTTATGCGCTGGAGCTTTCAGTGAGGTAAAATAGTCAATTTTGTCCTTCAGACTGAAACAACAAAATTTAGCTTAATATGTACAGCCATCTTGATCCATATGTGACTTGATAGAAAAACAACCAAACAACCCCTTAATTTAATATCCTGATTCTGTATACTTCTTTCATTTTATCGGTCAAAAGCTGATTTTGTACAAATGAGTTTATAACATTAATTATAAAACATTTGATTCCAACAGTTTCTCCATATTAAAGATTACAACATTAATTATTTATATTATATTATAAACATTTAGGTTTTACCTCTTAAAAAATGCAAGTGTCACAATATTAATTGCAAAGAGAGTCTGCTAATGTTTATAAATGAATCAATAATGCATATAAATCTTTCAATTTCATAATATTCATATTTTATGCTATTTGTAAACAATAACAATCGAAGCTTGAAAGGTTTTGGAAGCTCACGGATTTATCTCAATTATTAAAAAGAATCTTAAATACAATTAATTTTTTAATCAAACAAATTATATGAAAACGAGTATTTTATTTTCTTTAATTTGATACCCATATTGATATACACATACATACATACATATTTGAAGCAAATCAACACAAAAATTGAAGATTTAGTTACGATTAGAAATTAGAATATATAAATATACATATAGGGTTGGGTTCCGATGAGAATAAAAGTTAAGGTGAGAAGCATAAAAGGGATCTTCATCCTTAGATGCACATTAGGATGAGATGCACCAAATCAATCACTATATCAAACACAATTCATGAGTGAGTTTGAGATTAAAGGTGATCAAGGATTTAGATCCCTTCTTATAATTCTCACTTTAACTCCTTCTCACATGATCCTTTGCATATATATATATATGTATATATATATATGTAGGGTTGGGTTCACGTGAGACCAGCCTGTTTTCGTGAGACCCGTGAGACCACGTTTTTACACGTAACCTTCACAGCAAAAACACTGTGAAGGTTTTAAAAAKTCRAACCTTCACAGCAAAAACACTGTGAAGGTTTTAAAAAGTCACCTTCACAGCATTTTTGCTGTGAAGTTTCAAGTGTAAAATGCTGGTCTCACGGGTCTCACGAAAACAGGCTGGTCTCACATGACCCCAAGTCTATATATGTATATATATATATGTATATATATATACGAATGAGTATATTCATAAAATAAACTAAAGGGTGTGACATGACATGCTCACACATGCTTAACTTTATTGAGAAGGTGACATGACATCCATATTAAGCAAAACAAAACCATCACAAGTTAAGAATCCCTTACATTTTTGCATCTTACCAATCTCTTCCCTTTATCTTTTCTCTATTCTTATTAAAACACACCCTATATACACATCTCCATTCCATTTCTCTACTGTTTCACATCCTTATCGACATTTCTTTCTGTTTCATATCTTGTCCTTCTAAAATGTCGTTGAGGCCTCGTCGTCGCGTCATCGTCAATGGGAACCAAAGAACGAGAACTCATCATTACTATTGGTGTCGCCGATGCCAAACCACATTCAGAACCAACTCAAACAACGTACCTGAAACGGTTTGTCCGCGATGTTTAGGTATTTTTCCTAATGAGCTTGACGTACAACGGTCTAGGTTGGTATCCAACGTTGCAGATGTCGAACCATCTTTAGCTGCACAATTAATAGAGAACTTGGCTCTGTTGTTTGAGCCACCAGAGCTACAGCCACAACTTTTTGGACTGCGAGATCTTGATACTGAAATTGAACAACGTCCGAATCCCAATTTTATTTTTCAAGTCACGGGTTCTCAGTCTGCACGTTTAGGTACTGGATCTCTTGATCATCAAAATGTAGCTTTTGAGGACACGAACGATGTTTCCAACGAAGAAGAGGACCCAACGCTACCACATACACCGTTTTCAGTAATTGAAGCGTTACCGTTAGTGAGTCTAACTCCATCTCATTTACTTAACGACTCACATTGCCCTGTTTGTAAAGACGAGTTTGAGGTTGGAGGAGAAGCACGGGAGTTGCCGTGTAAACATTTCTATCATTCTGATTGTATCGTTCCGTGGTTAAGCAATCATAATACATGCCCAGTATGTCGGTATGAGATAGAAGGCCTATTAAACAACGACCAAATGCATCACGAAGACGACTTTCCAAGACACGATTTTCGAAACTCAATCGACATGAATCGGAGCCTAGTACAATTAATCACGTCATGGCCTTTCAGAGCATTCTCAAACTCGATACGTCATCGTCCTAATTTTCTTGACAACAGTAATCCAACTTCTCTCATAGGTCTGTATGTATAGACCTTGAATTCCTTTTTATATCGTTTAATCACAGCTTACCTAGGGTTTTATGATCTAATGCTCGTATATGATCTTTGCAGATAGAATTGGTGACACACTTGGTTCGGTTTATGACTTCCTGTATAATCTGGTGTCGCCTTTTAGGAATAATATATATTAATTAAACTGCTCCAAATACAAGACTCACGTCTTCATTAAACAAACGATAATTTGTAAAAATTATATGTGTAATTTCTTTACAATAATTTCAATTCATTCCATTGTTATTGTTGTTTATTTTTGAGAGCATGAATAAATAAATAAATAAAAACAATAAATATATGTGTATGGAAAATAAATTATATACCCTACTTATTAAGGTGTTACTAGTGGTGGCTGAAAACCGGTCTCGGCCCGGTTCCGATCGGTCCCAAGGTTGTGCATAACCGGTCCTGGTCGAAAAGGTGAAGACCGGTCAAGCCATTCTATAATTGGTTATGGGGTCCTGGTCCCAACGGGTCCCGATATTAAAAATATTTTTTTTAAGGATATATATTTTTAATACATTATTAAATTTGTCTTACGGGTCACTCAAATACCCTTTAAAAATACGTTTTATTATAATTAAAATTACATTGTCTTACAAATTGAGAACTATGTATGTTAATCTCTCAACCAAAACACATATTTATAGTGTTTTGAGGCAAAAAACTACAAAAAAGAAAAACGGCTCCCAAGTGGCTATATAACGGCTATAAACCTGCTCTCTTTTTTTTTTTTGAACTTTCAGACCAAGCCGAGCCGGTCCTTAATCAGTCCATAACCGGTCCGGTCCCACAAATCAGACAAATGCATAATCGGTTCGGTTCAGTTTTGGTCGATTCTGGATTGCCATCCGAGAACCGACCGATCCAAATTGGATGTTGAAATTTTCAATCCAATCCGATCCAATTACAATTGGATATCCAATTACAATTGGATATCCAATTATGGTCGGTCAGTTCTCATTGGATCAGTAGGTTCCAATTGGATCGGTTGATTTTCTGTACACCCTTAATATTGATGAGACAAATTTTGGTCATAAATATTCAGTTACAAGTGGAACCTATAATAAATAAGAAGAACAACAGTTGTCATAGATAATTAATATAATATGTGGCCATGATTACTGATTTAAATGTTTTATAATACATCAAGGTTCTCATTCGACCTTTAGTGTCTACTCACTAGCATTCAAGATAGAAATCACAAACTACCTACGTAACAACACGACACTTAACCGTCATGCATAAGCGTTAAGGCATTAAAACCCCAATAATCACGGTCCCGGAGTCCGACTCATAAGAATTCCACCTCCGCAATACCAAGACCCCCATAATGCCTATTCGAGCATTGATCATAAAGGGAGGACATCAAGACTCCTGACTTATCAAAAATGACCGACTCGTACGCCTATGTATTTCAAGTTTCTTTTTTTATTAAATTGTCAAATTTGCACTCGACTCGAACCAACGACCCTTGCTTGCAATAAGACGACAACGAATGGTGTGAGAAAATTGAAACGATAACGAAAAGCAATTCGAAGTAATAAGCCATAAATCACATTGAGTTTGATATGATTAAGATGCATCTCATTTCCTTCACAACAGAGTTGTGATCTTCATTTCTTTAGCTCAAAAACAACAACCAACTTAAGTTACAACCTTTTCTTTGAAACATTAAACTTCTCTATTACCTGCCATCTTAAAGAACGATTCCCTTCGGGAAACATCCCCATTTGTCTTCCATAACGTGGAATAGAAAGCGGCCTGCCACCATTTGGCTTCGACCTGCAACGTTTTTCTGGTTCGTGTACAATGTGTGTGTGTATCAGTGTGTATGGCTGAGTTATGAAGCTCCAAAAGATCCATTAGCGAACGGTTTCTACTATACTTTTAGCAAAACTGTAAGTCGGCGGATCTGCATAAAGTTTGGAGTGTCATAAGTGTAGAGAAGAAGAACAGAGGCCAGGTTATGTGATTCAAAGAACCAGTTGCTGAAGCTGCAAAAACACAGAGGAAAAGAACATCAGAATCCATCAAATTATGCACAAATCACAACTCAAATCTGTATCTGTACTTGCATATGTTTCTAGGGGTTGGTTTAAATACGAACAGTAAATATTTTCAGAAGCTGGAAACCAACTATTATGAATTATTCATAATGATTAATTGTGATAGGTGTTCATCATTAACAGTGAAAATACATGACATTAATGATGAATGATATTCATGAATATAAGGGTTATTCATTATGAATAATTCATAAAATAGTTGGTTCCCAGCTTTGCAAAAAATTTAAGGTTCTCATTTGAACCTTCCCTCGTATGTCTATGTATCTATCTATATTTGTATATATAAGAGTGTGTATGCATGTATCTTTACCACATAACCAAAGTATTAATGAAAGTTGAATTAGATTCCTAAAAGAAAGCAGAAAGACAAATAAAACCTTGCTCGTAAACGTGAGTTTGATTTGCCATGATACTCTTCGACACATTTAAGCTACATATATTTTTTTTCTAAAAGATCTTCACTGAACATATTAACTTACATGCTAAGAGAACCAAAAGAAGAAATTGTTCAAGAAAATCATATGGACTGAAATTAAGTGAACTTATTCGGATATCTGGAAGTGAAATTTACTATACTGCCCCTAGATCATGGGCAATGCTCTTTCTTTGCTAACGTCAAGGGAGCTATGTGGTGACCTTCCACAATGTTGGGAATACCCGATAGGGCATTTCACTTGGAGATATCCAATAGATTCGTTTATTGGATAAATCACTTACAGTAACGAGTGTGAGAAAGATCAAAAGAAGTAACTTACAAGACAATGATGGTGAGACCGAAACTGGTGGAGCCACTGAGCCTTTCTGATCCCCTTGATCTTGGCCAGGATGTGAGCCATAGGATACAGCTGGTAACGAAGGAAAATCTGGGGGCATTTCTGACCTTGGATGCACCGGTGGTGGACTAATAGAATGCCGAGGTGCAGAAGGAAGAGAATGTGGGACAGGAACATTCATTGGTGGTGGGCTGGGGAAGATATGGGACCCACCACAAGAATGATCCACTGGGGCATTTGCAAGAGGAGGTGAAGATTGATCATGCCCATTTTGGGGGCTTGGTGAAGAAAAGACTGGAGATGGAGAGGGGGAAATAGAGGGTTCTGCATAATAGTTAAGCAATGGAGACGGAGCTGGGGAAGGCGAAGGTGCATCGAGGGTATGATACAGATAAGAAGATAAACTGATTTCCTTCACTTTACCAAAAACAGAGTGATCCAGGCCAAGGTTTCTTGCAGAGGGTGATCCTGTTATTGTTTGGGCCAATTGCTTCAATCTTAGAGGCACAAGGTTCCCTAGGTTCGACACGATTGATGCCTGGACAGTAACCGGGGGGTCTCTGGTTGAGCCGGCTTTGTTTGTTACTTGCATATATACACTCTGAGGAAGAGAGAGGTGTAAGAAAACAGTTATTAACATAGTTTTGGGACAGCAAAAGTTGGTCCAAACCTATATGGCTATATGTCATGTGCATCATCAAACATATCTAGAACTGATTACGGATAGAAATCAAGAAGGTGCCAACAAACACACCAACTTGTAACTACAAACAAATTGAAAGCCGGGCAAAAATTGTACCTCATAAGGCTTTAGGTGCAACCCCGATTTTAGCTGTTCCTTCAGCTCAACAAAGTTCTCTTCAATTTCACGCAGAGAATTAGGGAGGGTAAAATTGAAGAGGGCTTGTGGTAGCATCCAAAAGGATGCAGATTGCTTAGGGATAACTGTGATCCCACCAGGAAACTTGAAAATCTCAAACGATGATGGCTGTCCGAAAATGGATGTCGTTAATGTCAAGTTGGAACGTTGGTTGAACAGCTCAACTAAAGATGATCTTATCACGCTTATAGATACGGCATTTATTGAAGAATTCATGGGATCAGAAAGAACGCCAAACACCACGTGGGTCCAGTCAGATGCACTTGCTTTGTGCATAGATAAGATAGCAACCTGTAAATCATTGGGAACGTTTAGGATCATCTTCCTAATGCATATCAGGATGGGAAACACAGATAACGGGAATAGCTTATATCAGCAAACCTTTGTGTAAGGAACACCGATTTCTGCATAAATGTCATATTCTAGTCTTGTGATTTGAGGAAGAAGATATGCAACAGGCTTTTGTAGTCTGAAATATGCCTGTATTGTGGCTGAAATAACATCGGCATAGATATTAGATACAGCTTAAAACTTGTATGTCCATAAGCATCAACATAAAGCAGGACCGAATTTACTTATAACCCTTTTATTTGATTTATTTCATTTCTGGGTTTCTGCACTTTAATAAGCAATAGTTACATCATCTGTTTGGTTCTTTTTATACACTTCATAGAAAATCTACTCTTTTTTATGAACTTATCATCACAACTATCAAATGGGTGTTGTTTAAATACATGTTTTCCATCAAAGTTTGCACAAAAGAGATCAATGTTTTATGAAATACATAAAAAGACAATCTTTTTAGATCCAATCTCCAGATAATTGCAGAAGCTTAATCCTCAACAGAATAATAATAAGTCCAAATAATTGTTTGAATATTTAAATCCAGCAATCATATATAAACACCCTGCCTGCTCATAATTCAAATGGACCCATTTGCTCATTTGAGCAGAATAACATTGGTTTTAAAACTACTGTCAGAAAATCAACATCCTAAATCAAACAACAAGTCAATTCCTAGATCATTGCAAATCACTGTAATCGGAATCAAGGTATAGCATATGATCAATCAGCCAGAAAATAAACCCTAATCACGATAACGAAGATTTATAAAATAAGAATCCAAATCCTAATATTTCAAATTAAGCAAAAATATTCACACATACATACATACCACTGTGCTTGATTGAAGCTTTTACATCAAACCCATATTGTCTGTGGTGCAAATGAAAGATGGAAAAAACAGCTGTGAGGAGAACGGCAACGCTGAGAAGCAAAACAAAAACGCATTTGAAACTAAACAATCGATCAATTCTCGAGAAACCCATCGAACATCGAACAAACAAATAAGACCCATGATGATTCTGCTCCTGTTGGTGGTGAATTGGCAATTGGGGTTCGGATTTCCCCATTTGCAAAGCATCTGTGCACTCACTCCCTCTCTCTCTCTCTCTCTCCTCCTCTGTTGCAACTCAATTATCAGTCGTTTTTCCCTCTAAAATACGAAAACTTGATTGAATTTGAAGGTGTGTAAGACGATGAGACACTAACCACCATTGTTGATGGTACACATTCTCTCTCTCTCTCTCTCTCTCTCTCTCTCTCTGTGTATATGTTTGGCACAACTGTAAGTAGCACTGAGGAGGAAGCATCTGATTTGTACCATTCCAACTATTTTCTTCATTTTTTTTACTTCTTTTCAAATTCTCAAACCATGTGGAACTGTCATTTGTAATTTACAAAACTGCCCCCTCAATTTACAATTTATTTGATTTTTTTACCTTAAACTTTTGAGAAAAGTCTAAAAAAAACCCAACAGACTTCAGCGTTTGAAATGATTAAGTTCTTGAACAATTTTTTGGAACAAATAAAGGGATGTTTGAGATTGCTTATTTTAGGTGCTTTTTGACTTATTTCAGTCTAAACACCGGTGATAAGCTAATTGCTAGTGTTTGGATGAGGAAAAATAAAACTGTTTATATCGGTGTCAAACCGCTAATAAACAGTTTTTGATAAGTTAATTCTTCCTGACTTATGAAAAATTGTTTATTACCAGTTTATCATTTTAACCCTGTTTTATTAATGTTTGTTAACTATTAATCTTATTGATATAATTTTTTGTCAAAAATATTATTATAAATGATGAAAAATAAATTTTTACCTGTTAAAAAATCAAATAAGTTAATAATCAAAAATATTATTATATGGAAGATTGTCTTTTTTGGTTATTTTACATATATAAGCAAAATTTGCCAAATACTAAAAAACAACTTATCAACTTATTGTTTTTTGGTACTGCTATAAGCTAATCCAAACACTTTTTAGAAAACTCCGATTTAATACCACATAAATTAATAAGTACTTTTACAAAAAAACATAAGTTGTTTTAAATAAGCAATACCAAACACCCCCTAAGTTCTTGGACATTTCAAAACATGTTAAACAACTCTTTGGACTTTCTAAAACATGCTAGATACATCTTTATGACCTATAAAAATAGTTAATACGGTAAAATAATGAAAAAAATCTGGAAAAAGATAATGGATCTTCGTATTTTGAACGATTAAGTCTTTAAATGTTTTATGAACTAAAAAAATACTTATATCTGTAAAATGAAAAAAAAAATACAACAAAATACTTACATTTAAAAAAGATTATTGATCAAATTTATTTAATGGACTTATTTGTTCCACTAATTTTGGTTCATTTACATCTTTTAATTTATTTGTATAGATTATTTAATATTTTTATTATAATGAAATATCTAAAATATCCTTCATGATAATTCAAGAGTGAAATGACATTGTTTACTAAAACTGAAAGAAAATATTAAATATGAAGGTTGGTAAGTGATTTAAGAAAGAATGAGGATGTAAATGTAAGATTTGTGAAAGAGTAAGGGGTGAAAATGTAAAAAGGAATGATGATTTGGCTACCGAACGTTGAGGAGAAGCAAAGGCGAAAGGGAAATATTGAGTAGAATGGATTGGTGGAGAGAAAAGGGGTACTTTTGTCAAAAAAGAAAAGTTAAAGGGCAAAAAGGGAAAGAAGTGATTGTCGTCCTTGTCCTTTTTTTAAATGATATATTCCCTCTACAAATACGAATAAATTAACACATAAATACACAACTAAAACTTCCATCCCATGTGCATATCTATACTATATTATAAAGAATTTGACAAAAATTCTTAAAAATCATTTTTTATACATGAAGTACTGTGTATTAATATATATTACTTAAAATTTAAGATTACAAGTAAATTATACGTATGTACAACTTATTAAAGCTCCATTTTTGAATTCATATAACTAACTATAGATAAAAATAATCAAATACATGATAAACATCTCATTTTTTATATAAAAAATCTAAAATATAATTAGAATAATCATTGAGTTCTAACAGAATCATTATCTTTATAAAATTTTATTGTTAAGCAAAAAATAAATTACTTCACTAAATCGTTAAAAAAAACATTATCTTTCTCAAAATCACATAAATCATATTATATCAACGAAGACAAAAAAAAAACATTAAGATGAAGATATATCCCGCTGCATTGTGCGAGTATCCTTCTAGTATGTGTGTGTGTGTATATATATATATATATATATATAAAGTACTCGCGTAATGCAGCGATACACATCTCGATTTTAATGTTCTATTTTATTATTTGTCTCTGTCAATGTTATAATACAATTTTATGTGTTTCTAAGAAATCAATAATGATTTTATTTTTGAATAAAATATAAATTTGAAAATATCATAAAAATTTGAAAAAAAATATCAATATTAATATCAAATCAACTATTTAAAAGTTCTCATTTTTTATGTAATTTCTTTAATTTATTTWTTTATTGTAATTTAATTTAAGTTTCATAACGAAATAATTTATTTTTGGTTTAATAATACAACATTTTATAAATATAATAATTAAGTATTCTGTTAAAACTTAACGGTTATCCTAAATATATATTTTAGATTTTTTATATTTAAAATGAGATGTTTATCTTGTATTTGATTATGTTTATCTACAGTTAGTTACACAAATTCAAATATAAAGCTTTAATAAGTTGTACTTACGTACAATCTACTTGCAATCGTGAGTTTTAAGTAATATGCATTAATAAATAGTATTTTACGCATAAAAAGTGGTTTTTAAGAACTTTTGTCAAATGTTTTATAATATAGTGTGTGTGTGTGTGTATATATATATATATATATACTAGTTGTGTACCCGCGTAATACGACATGATGTCAAATTTTCAAATAAGCCTACAACTAAAAATGAGTGCAACTATTCATTAACAAGTACAAAATTTATATTTAAACATTCGATCTTACAAGGGAACCCTTATTAATATAGTATATATATATATATATATATATATAATCATTTGCAAACTCAATAATCATACAACTATAACGCATTTTTCATGTGTTGTTTGACATATAAAACAACATATGTGATGTTACAATGTTGTTTCAAATGTGAAATGGTCACATATGTTGTTTTATATGTCAAACAATCATGAAACTCTTAAAAAAATAATAATTATGTATTAAGTTCCAACAAAATATCTAACTATTATCTTTATAAAAAATTATATTATTAAACCAAAAATTAAAAACTTCGTTATTAAACCTAAATTTAATTTATAATAAAAAATGATTTAAATAAACTACACCAAAAAAAAAAGAATTTTTAAATAGTTAATTTGATAATAATATCAATATATTTTTTTTAAATTATTATGATATCTTCATATAAATATTTTATTCATAAATAAAAACATTATTGTTTTCTCAAACCGTATTATAACATCGATTGAGACAAAAAAAAAACATTAAAATCAAAATGTATCTCACTTCACATACACGAATACCTTTCTAGTTTTTAATAAATTTATCCTGTAACATTTACCAATTCAAAACATCTAACCATCGAGTGATAAAAAAATTTGTTTGGATCATGATTTTGACAAAACATAGTTCAGATAAATAAACCTGAAGCATTAAATAGGACCGCGATCAATATTATTTTAGTTTTCAAACTCGTACTGATATTTTTCATTTTAAAATAAACTCATATTTGTATTACATTCATCGTCCATGACCAAACTGATTAAACTGATCAGATTTTTTTCTAATTTTTTGGTTATCGATCCAATTTGTTGAAGTCGAGTCAGAATCCCGAGTTTAAATCAGTATCCACATTAACTTGAGCATGACTCAAGGTGTTAGTGTGAGTTTAATCATAAACAATTTGAAGTAGTGATTTTGAAGATTTGATTAAAGATTGTTAATGCTTTTGATTACAATCCACAATCCACACTCAATACCATTATTATAATAATCCATACTTAACCTAATCTTTTTAAGCTCATTATTTAATTTCATACTTTTAGACCTAATTTCAAGAACGAAATTCAGAGAATCTGGTTTAAAATTAATGATTATGCTTAAACAGTATTCAGTTTGATCTGTATTTTAGGAGTCGTTAATGTATACATAAACCTAAAAAATCATGGTCTAGATTTGAAAATGTGGTTATATTTATAAATAATAACAGAGGGTTACCCTGTTTAAAACCGAAACAAATGTTACATATAAATATCATATTATGAATTATGAAAGAAAAGATGGGTATGCATGGGAGATGGGCCAACTACTTGGAGGTTGATTGTACATTTGCTTGGTGTTGGTTGGGTTTGTTGACCTATTACCTTAAAACTAATGTTATATATATATGTGTGTGTATATATATATATATATATATATATAGGAGTGATCATATGAAAACCGCTCTCATTTGTGTAAACCGTACAAACCACTTTTATCTGTCGATTTCATTGTTTAATCTTATGAAATTTTTTCATGAAATTGTTTAAT